TAATGGGTAAAGGATCCAACTGTCAGCTTTAGGAGACAACACCTGTCCTTAAAGGGAGAAACCACATTTTCTCAAAGTTTACCTAAACTCCAAATAAACATTTGTTTTTTTGCAGATAAACTAGATAACCTAGAAATTTAGCCTTATAAGTGCTATATTGACTTTACGTGCTAATGTGGACATTTTTGTATAATTCTGCAATATTTTGCCTAAAACTTTTATAGTGCTGATTCAGAGGTCCAGTGTCAGTCTCCAGGGAATAAACAAAACAAAATGGAAGTCGGACGGCCCAGCACAATAACTTTCTATATACAGGGGTCCCTCTCCATATTGTGGTTCACAGTCCTGTTGTTTTTTTGTGTGTGTACAGTAGCCTACTATGTATTTAAATGTATGTGACCGAATTCTACTGCATGAACTAGTCTACTTTGTTATGAGTCCTGACTGGGTCAGTGAACATCAAAATGTTCTGTTTTGTGTCATTTTGATTGGCTAAGAGAATCTAGTCCATGTTAGGAATCCAGTTTGTGTGGTCTGTTTGTGTGCTTTTCTTCTCTCCACCACCAGGTGGTGCCCTGTCCTCAGTGAGCCTCCCTGCACACCTGCGGCTCATTGGACCATTACTGGAGGAGTATTTGAGCAGTCGGCTGTCACTACCTCTGCACCAGAGTGTTTGCCAGTTTTGGGTACTCTAGCCAAGCTTAGATTAGTTGAGTCTTACCTAGCCTTGTTTCTCTGAGTCTAATGAGTTTATTGTCTTTGTTCTTCGGCAGGAAGCCTTCCTATATAACTGGATACCTGGACCTTTTCCGCCTAGAAGGAATTACTGAGTTCACACTGAGCAGGGGAAAACCTCCACATGATCCGTTCAAGTTCTCCTTGGAAATCAAAGTGACAGCCCCCTCATTTACTCCTCCGAGTCCAACGTAAGTATACCTGTCCGCGCTCCAACGAGTTCCCTCTACTCTGGATAATCCTACACAGACTGGATTCAAGGATTGACAAGAGCCCCCTCAAACGTGAGTCTCTCTCCTGCACAATTCAAACTGCAGTCTCAATTCCCACGGTCCCTGAACTGATCTCTGTGATCTTCCTTTCTGACTTTCCAGTTCCGGTTCACCAGTTAACCGAGTTCCAGATCCAACCCCTGTTCTCATTACCTCAAATTAACCTGTTAAACCTTTCTCCGTGTTCTCTGAGTGGTTTCTCTCACATTCTCACGAAAGGCCTGAGTCAGTCTACTTTATGCCTGTGTTAAACTGTAGCTTTCATGTCAATTCTTGATTACGTTCACTGTTATTTGGTTTCATGTTTCATGCTGATGTGTGTTGGGGTTTTTTTTTCCTAAAAAAATGTGAATTTATTACAAACGCATCAAATAAATGTAACTGCTGCTGCCCCCATGTGCCAAAGGAACAGGGATGGAGCTATAAGCCAATGCCGCCCCTGGCCAGTAATGGCTACGGCTATGACCACCTTGATCTGGTGATTTGTTGTTCCATTGTAACTTACTGTACCACCTTAAGAACAAGCAGTGCCCTCTGAACCATAGGGTGAAAGCAGTGATATTCTGAACTGGAATATCCTAAATAACTTGAATTTTCCTTTCTTAGTATATTCAACATTAACTGACAACACATTGCAGTAATTTAAATATTCAGATGAATGTGCTTAAGTTAAATATGATAAAATAACTATTTTTCTCTCTATGTTGAAGAAGGGAAAGAGTTAAAAAACAACCCCTTAGATGTTGATAGTAGCAGTCCTTTTCCAGTTGGTACAGTGTGATTAGTGTAGATCCAACCTAAACTAGTTTGGGCACCTATCAGTTTCTCGTATTTTCATAAGTCACCCTTGAATAAAATCCGGTTCACCATTGTAAAGGAAGATGCTCTCCATTGCCTAAACAATTGAACTGCTGCACATACTAAAAAAAGGGAGCCACTAACAAACTAATCCACAGCTCAGTACATACAGAAGGATGAAAGAATATGAAGAGGTTGGTAACTTTCCCCACTAAAACCATTGTGAAGATGGAGTCTGCATTAGTTTTGTGAATCAATGACAGCAGGTCAAAGAACATCACATTGGATACGATTATCATCTGCACAGGGGCAAAGTAAAATTTTTTGAAACTTATCTAAAAAAAACCCCCAAAAAACGATGACTTTCCAAACAATGAGGGTGACTGTGATGTGGAGCCATGGCCATTCAGTGCCTCTCCCACAGGACCAACCAAATTAATCAACAGCAAGGGCTGATTTGGCAAATTTCAGAAGCTCTTTCTTTGCCTGGAGAAGCCACCTCTGTACATTCAGATGGAGCTGAGGAGTGGGTGAACAACACATTTAAGGCCATCATGAAGGAAGACCCTACAAGTTTTTAAATATGGATTACAATAGATTGTTTTGGAAACTATTGGGTTTTGCCGCTTTACAATAAAGAATGTAGCAGACGGACGTTCACATTGTGTACGTCAGTCTGCTATATCGGCTGGTCAGGCTAGAAGCTTTGCACGTGTGACTCTTTTTAGTAAGGAAACAAAGAGGAGATACTCTTCTCACCCTGCTGCAAAGGTTTGCTGCGAGTCGGGCCACCTGTCAGTGCTATGTAGAAGGGAGGAGCTTGCAGAAGCACACATTGCTTTCTGAAAACAGTTATATCAGAGCAATCAGTCCTCTCACATGTTGTCACCAAAGTCTCCAAAAACACATAAAAATACCTGTTAGATTTGTCTCTAATCCCTTTGAAACAAAAGGGTTCTGAAACATAATGTAATGCGGTAACAAAATCACTTACAGCAACAGTTTGCGCACTTTGCTACATTTTGAAAAAAAATGTCTGGGGGCTGGTTTTGCTTTTGCATCGGCTTAGTTACACTTTAACATTTAGATCAAGAAAGTGGAAGAATCTGCTAACAAACTGTCTGATAAAAAATACAACTTTGTGTACTCAGCAATGTTGTATTTTCCTCCTTTTTAGTTTGTGGAGACCTTAACTTGCCAACACAACCCACAACCACAGACCACAGCAGCAATAATGAAATATTTTGGCTCTGGGCGACAGCGGTGGTGAAGTGTTTCAGAATCAAGTGACAACAGGTGTATTGCCTAGAGTGCAAGCAGAGAATAAATGTTGTCATCAACCACCTTGACCTGAGAGGGATTGTTCCTATGACCAGCGAAACACCATTAAAGAGTATCTTTCTGAAGTGAAATCAAACATTTCCCACTATTTTCCCAATCAGAAGCAGGTTTGAACCCCATGACCTTTTAGTTTAGTGCAATATGCAAGTTAACTTGGATTAATAGAGCCTGTTGGAGGGCTTGGCTAAGAAAGCCACATGAGGATGTGTGCAAGTAGAATGAGCTACTAGCAACAAGAAAAACTATACATAAAAAAGAAACATTTAACCCAGATACCATACATAGTTACCATCTTACATCACCTCAGGGCTGGTAACAGTGAATGCTCAAAGTTCAGAATTTTATTTTCAGCACAGGCTAAATGCATGTTAAGAAAAAAAAAATGGAATTTTTAAAATATACAACTGTCAGAATTTCTATATACACTTATAATGTACAATATAACAACCTACAAACAATGTCTACACATTTATTTAGAATGCTGTCTGAATATGCACCTATGGACATTGCATTATATCTATATTACATTGAAAGTTTACTAGAATACGTTACAAGGCTGTTCAGATTACTGTCATTTGCATGCCTGCCTACAGAGTCTCTTAAATTTACATGCAGATATCTATTTCAGTAATAGATCACTTGTGGTATTTCTTTAGAATAGCTTACTAAGATAAGCCCTGTATTTGCCTATCTTCACTGTTTATGTAGTGTTAGTTTACAGTTTTCAAACACTTTAAATGGATGTTTTACTAATTGTTGCAACCTTGTCTTTTTGCTTTGAAAGCTTACTTGGAAAGAAAAATGACACATTCTGCATTTTCTTACAGTTGTCAAATTAGTTTTTATTGAAAAAAATGAAGATATTTGCTTATTTAAAACTGTAAAAACAAAAGACAGATACAAAAACAAAAAGGAATATATTTACCTTTATATTTCACTTGGAAAAAAAAAAAATTCACAAGTTCAAGAGGCAATCATCCTTGCTGTTGCACTTCCATCACCAGGCCATGTGGTGCCATTTCTTTAGTAAAATGACTGGGATCATCCCAATAAAAATGCAGTGCAACTCAATGATTCCCATGGAACTGAATAAAGGCAGTGTACATAAATCAACAAGGACAAAACGACTCAGAAAATTACAGAAATTCTCCCGATCAAAATAATCTTGACAAAACATTTGATCAAATATTCTGTGGAGCGATGAGGGATAGTTAAACATTGAGAAAACAAGGTGTCCAGTAACATTAACTACAGGTTTTAAGAAACAACAAGCTTAACATAAATAATGGGGGTAAATACCTTAGGTCTTTCTGATTATTTTGGAAAACAGGTTTAAAGCGGACACAAATACAAAACATTATCATCAATTGATTGATCAGTTGGAAATTTTATTCACATATAACAACTGATCTATTAGAAATTAATCCCTGCAGTATATTTCAAAATACATAGAACCAGTTTACTCTGTAACAGATGCATGTGCAACAGGGATCAGCTTGTAATCGTGTGTCCCTTACACTGAAATTATTTGCATGTGTATTATTAAAACACACAGTTACACAGAAAGCCCTGTAAGTCTTTTTTTCCCCCATTGATTCCCATTCGCCTGCTGTTTGAAATCACACTGACCTCTCTTTCATCATAGTCTCCGCCTTTTTTTACGCCACGCCGACCTTACAACTGCCAGCAAATCCGTCCAATTGAAATTTAGTTTCCCATGTATGGCATATCCCATTGACCAATCAGCGGCCGGAGGAGGCGGAACCTGTGTGGGCCTGGTTTTCACGTTTGGTTGCTGAGGTAAGCTCCCGTTGGAAATTTGACTTTTCTTTCAAAAATATTTTATTCCCTATGGCGGTGTTTAGTTTAATATCGTCACCTGCTGCCGTGTGTTGTTGTATCAGTTGAAATAACGACCATTCGCTGCACAACAGTTTTTAATAGCGTGTTTGGGTCTGATTGAAGCGCTGCAAAGTATCTGAAGCATAGAGAACAACGGTGATTTTTTTAACTGACAACCCTTTTATTGATAATAATCAATGACTTTGCTGTCAGATAAAATGCTCCTCCCGTTGCTTATTAAAATAACATGTTTCTCGCATGTCAAAATCATTGTATGTTTATATTTAATATAAAATCTATCTGTGTCGGTCAGTTTTTAAGCGCTTCTTTTGTTTTCCTGTTGTTTATAATAATGTAGCTAAGTGTCAGTTTTGTTTACAAATGCTCCGCCGTTTGTATCTCTGTAGGAGAAACACGTGAACTGAAACTTAACATCCAGTACAGTCTGTTAGAGTAATTATCAGTTGTTTGCTCAATGTTTCAGAAAGCACTACACCCTGCTGTTTAAGGTGACTGATCAGAGGAGACCACACAACCACACCTCTTCTACAAGCAGACCACTCTGCTTGCTTTGGACCTGGACAACTTTTCTTTTCTTTTTTTTTTGAACGGGATGGATCTTGAAAAAACATAACTTGGATATACACATTTAACGTTTTTTTTGTTTGGATATTTTGCAAGGAGTTACCAAAGTTTCCGAGGGGAGAACATACAGCTTGTTTTCTGACTTTAATATAGCTGAGATGGACCAAGCCAGCGGAGGGGAGGATCCCAATAAGCCCTCCAAAAAGAAATCCAGCGAGGATGAGGGTAAAAACAAAAAGCTGGTAGGTATTATGAGTAGATCTGAATTGTTGCATGAAATGTAAGTGAAAAAACAAAACAAAAACAGTTGCAATAAGTCGATGTTAAAGCATCTGTATAGGTACAGACCACTCAGTTGTTACAGAACATTAGGCTGAAGTTATTGATGTGTTATTATTATTTAATGTATCCCACAACAAAGTGCTTATAAGAGAGTTTAGCAAAACAAGATGCTGTTTCCTGAGTGCTTTAAATTTCATGGCACTAAGTAGATCACCTGATCATCTTATCAATGCTGTTCCTAAAAGTTGGGTTCTGAAGAGCTCTCTTGTTGTGACAGCTGGACCTGTCTGCTCTCCAGGGGGGAATTTACTATTAGGCAATACTAGTTAGTTGCTGAGGGCACCATGTTCCCGGGGCCCCCATAAAACTCTGTTTAGTTGTATAGTTGATACAACTATTCCTTATTTGTGCTCATTAATTATGTTTTTGATAAAAATCCTTTCGCTAAAATGCGATCAGAATGCTTATAATATTAGATGTGTCTCAGCCCCCCTTCAGTGTCCACCAATTTGGATCAGTCTTTTTGCTGCACATGTTGAGAAAGGTCCAAACGGACAGCAGCAAACCATTTGAAAACAAATGAGCAGTGTTGCCAACTTAGAGCTTTTTTCTCTATGTTTAGCGACTTTTCAAACCCCTCTAGTACTTTAATTTAAAAAGAGCGCCTAGCGCCAAATCTAGCTAATTTTTTCTGCTAATAGAGACTTTAAAGACAACATATAAAAGCACCCAACTCTGCTCTCCAGAGCAAGTAGATTCGTAACCTCGCCTCCTGCTCTCTACTATCTTGTCTGCTGTTATTATTCGTGTAGCTGTTATTTCATACAAATGAATAGTGGAGAACAGATAAGCAGACCGTGGCCTTTCTACAGTGAAACGGAGGACTGGGTTATTTACTTTTGCCGTCGCCTTTTTGGAAACACAGGAAAGAGCAATCAGCTAAATGAGCTTAGTGATTGGAAAAAATCTTTCATTTCTTTTCAGACAGCATGAAAAGTCAGCTGAGTAGAAAATATGGAGAGGAAAACAACGAGAGGGACAAAATTTAGAACAAATAATGTATGTCTATTTCATAAAAATGTCTGTATCAGTATAATGGATCTGTTTTATTTGTTGTCTTCTCAATTCAGAGGCCCCCTTGCCTGCTTTTCCTAGGGCCCCAAATTTCTTAAATCCGTCCCTGCTGCTCTCACATGTTCAGATAGACTTTGTTACTGGATGACTTGCTGCACAGCGTGGAGGCGGTTATTGTGGGGCTGTTAATACATTCTTAGTGTATGTGATTGATAAAAGGAAACCTTAGTCAGCATTAGGGCTGCGTGTGTGAGATAACCGGAAACTTCAGTTGGCATTTTGGTTCATGAGTAGCTTCAACATCAGTTTGGCTTAAGGAAGTCATTTAGGTTGAGAGAGAAGTGTGCTTATTAAAAAAAAAAGGTCTGTAATTAGAGACTCAGTGGTTTTTTTAAGTAGTATGTTTCTGGGAATAAAAGTGGCTGTAGTTACTTTTATATCAGTACAATGTAAAGTGAACATCTTCTAATGCAATAACCCATCTCATGTGGTTTAATGTGTTGAACATAAGGTGCAATACAACACACTTGAATAACCACAAACCACAATGTGACATTTTTTTTCTTTCATGTTGTTTGACAGATCAAGAAAATTTAGTGCATACTTGAGAGATGTGAAGGATGTCACACATTTCTAAATGTGTAAAAAATAGTGGAGAAGTCAGCTGTGCATTTGTATTCTGCCTTAGCTGAATCGATTCTCTATAGAATCATGTTTTTCTGTGATTTTTTTTATTAAAATACATTTTTGTGGGGATTTATGGACAGAAAGTTTTCCCTAAACATCGGTTTTTGGTTTCTGTCAATTACTCATAATGGGGTCTTGGACGTTTACTGGATTACTCTAATTCCCTATTCTTAGATGTACGTAGATCTGTGTAATGTGGCTCCAGCTGTATGTTAGGGATGTTGTCCTGCTGGAAGGTGGATCTCTGCCTCATCTTCAATATTAACTATCTAAAGATGTGTTCCCTCTGAAAACCAGGGTTTTTCAAAACCTGGTTAACCCGCTAACAACCTACTTTTGGCTCTTTTCCCATTTGACCGAAAAACGGAGTCTGACCCCTGCTGGCTGGCTGTGTGGCCACTGTTCCCCACCACTGCATGTCTGATGACAGCATCATGCTGGGTGAGCATTTATAATGTCGACAGTGCGACAGAAATCAGTGAAGTAAATAACGGAGAGCTACATAGACGGGAGCCAGAGTGTAGTCGGTAATCTTGCTCATTTATCTGTCCGAATCCCTCTCAATAGTGCTGCACCATGTTTATCCAATGTAAACACGGTTCTTTCAGCTTGTTAGATCAGAAGCGACTGGCGCAGTGTGTTGACGTCCGTATGTTGCGTTCAATGATGTCACATAATTTGGCGGGTCTACCTGGTCTGGTGTTCCCACAGTATACCGATCAGAGCCGAGGTGATTTTAATTCAGGTCGCTTGCTGAGTCATTTGACCCGAGTAGCCACTCGTTAGTGAGCTGTTCCCACTGCCACTTAAAGCCAATCATTCCCGGGTTTATCAGGTTTTTCAGCCAGTGAAAAGGGGTATAATATTTTTCTATATTCAGTGCAATTTATTTCTGTTTATTTCTTTTTATTTACGTTTTGCCATGAGGATGGTGTTTACAGGTCTTTTTAAAAAACTTTTCCACGTCATCTTTGACTTTTCTGCAGCTCTCCTTGGTCTTCTTTAGGCTCTCAAAGATCTAAAATACAAAATCATGCCACACTTTTCAGATTTATATGAAAAAAATATCAAAACCACACATTATTCTCCTTTCCCTTTGAAAATTTGCAATACTTTTTGTTGACGTATTACATAAAACCACAAAAAAATACAGAATAATGCGTGGTATTGTAAAAAGTTCTTAGTTTTGAAAGGCAATAGAAGTTTCTCTTCCTGTCAGGATGATCTAAAACGTTTCATCTCTCACATTCATTTAGAAAGTTTCCCTTATGAGTAGCTGTGTGACTATCTGCTGTTCTCACTGAGACTGTTTATGTGTTTGGTTGGTAGGGAAAATGTGACCGCAGTTGGCGACATCAGTTTTTAGCTGCCAATAACAAACCGGTAGCATGTGCTGCAACTTGTGGCTTTTTTTTTTCTTTCTAGGATTTCCAAATGTTGAGGTTTTAACCTTTTAATTGTGTAACTTTACAAAAAGTACAGTTAGACAGAAGCTTTTTCAGTGCATGATTATATAGATATGCTTATAAGAAGTAAAATAGGTATAAGACACTACGTTTAATTAGTAACAAGGTTATTCATAATTTTACATTATACCACCAGTTAAAGACCCTTGTTAAAGTTTGGAGCTATCTGTTTGTCTTACCATTTAGACTTAGCTTTGAATGCATTAAGCCCTTTCACTTCTGTGTGAAAGTTCTGTTACATCAGTTTCTGGTCTTCTCTTTCTACACGGAATATTTATTAGAGATAACGAAATGAGACTTTTCAAAATATCCGCCCTTTATTTTGCTTGGAGAGGCATATTTGTGCCTCTCAAAGTATCTTATTGTCTGCTGACAGCACTGATGTATAAACTGCACGTCTGTTGGTCCCTATGCACTAAGAGGGCTGAGTTGATCACAGCCGCCTTAGCGCAAAGGGACCGCAGGCTGTGAGACTCCCTACCGTTGTTAACAAGGGCTTACAAAGTAGTGTCTTTGCTAACGTTACCCCAGATCTTTATCCTTAGAGGTTTGCTCTCTCTCACTTCAAAGGAGGGGATGCTTAAGTCTCAACTGGGGATGCAGAGCAGGGCTCTTTCAGAGCTAAACTGGAACCATCCTCAAAAGTTGTCTATCGGAGACAAACATGCTAAATCTAATGATATTTGCTTATGATGCAGTCTCCATTGATTTGCCTGATCCTGCACAGATATGCAGTCTGTGTTATCGTCTATGTGGAGTTCGGCCAAGGCTTGAGCAGGTCAGCGGAGGTCATTTCATTAAATGGTTTGGCCGGTTGTACTGTTGCATTTCTGTAACTTATAACTGCTCATAGCTAAAGTGATTTTTTTAATCTAAATTTTTCTGTGATATTGACATAGGTATTGGAGCAATGCAGTTTTTTTTTCTTTTTTTAGGGGAGCTAATGAAGTATTAGTAAATCATTTAATTGTTTAAAATGGTAAATACACAAAAATGCAAGAAACCAATAAAAAAAAAAAAAAAAAGAAGAATGTCAGCCGTTCATTCAGTTTGTCTTTTTATACTTGTCATACTGTTTGGTTCATTTGTATCTGATTTTATTTTGAAGATCAGAACAGAGTGTTCCTTTACAAGTAAGCCAATTTGTAATCGCTATTGGGAGGTTTGATGAAAAAGCTAAAGTACTAAGTACTACACCTGCTGAAAAACTTTCTGGTTTTTGAAAAATTTCAAGCGTTTTTGAAAATCTCATGGAAAAAGTAAGGATTTAAATCTTCTTAGTACAAACAAAGAAGCATTTTTTATGAGGAAAAGGTCAAATTGAGCTAATTTCCAATAAAGAAATTAAAGTATGTTAGCTCAAATATCATTATTGTCTCTTTATAGAGAAAAATAATTGTAAACATATGACAACACTGCTGTTGGGATAGGGCCCACGCAGCTTGCCAGTGTGGCGTCAGACCCAGCTTTTTGTTTTTTTGCCAGTGGGAAGGGAGCCATGGGCCGATTGTTAGCAGGTCGACCCCTGTTCGAAAAGCCCAGGATGACCTTCCAATTTCAGTGGGAAAGAGGCTTCATAGAGACTTTGTGATCTCAAGATGCTCTTTGGAGGAGTTGCATATGTTAACACTGTAGTACTTTGCATCATTCTTTAGCTTGTTCTACAGGTGGAAGCAGTGGTTGAGTGTGTGCTCACATGTTTCTGTGAGTTGAGGTGAAACTTGGCAGGAAGC